ATGATTTAGCTTAGTATAAAACAGGTTGTTCTTGTTGTTCCAAAACATAACTTGAGTAAAGGATTTCTCCTGTGCCTCCTGCAAGTACGCTGCTATAGTTCATTCTCTGGACAACGCCAAGGAAGCGACGATTGCTACTACACTTTAGCTGTTGCTACAACTCTCTCTCTACACACTCGGACCCTTGGATAGGGGCTGACCTAGGTCAGGCACCCAAGGACCCTCGGAGGTGACCCCGAGGAGAGTTCTAGTGCCACCTAAAGCCTGTTGGTAGCTAGCGAAGCACGTTTTAAGAGTAACACTAACCACACCTGTCCCACTGCCATAACTGTAAAGTAGCGTGCCACCACAGCTTCGGGCTGTCCCACGCAATGGCTGGCAGTCGTTGTGGTGTTGCACCCCCAGCCATGCAATGCCCGCGCTGCGTGGGCATCACTCTGTTGGGGCCTATTTGGGGTTCTTGCTATCCCAAAGGGACCTCTCCTTGTTCATCGTTCTCTTCCACCACGCTGACGTCTCTCCAACATGCTTGCTACAGAGGCAGATCCCCCTGATATAGATTAGTGTATCAGGAAATTTACACTGACTGAATCAGTGTACTGGAATTTTTAGGCTATTGCCAGGAGTGTATGAAAAGTTTTACCCTAAGGGTCAGGGTACACTAGGCCAGAATAGCCTGATACGACAGGGTGAACCAAAACCAATTTTGGGCCCTGCGTGACCGGTAGTAGTAATCTTAGGATCACCACCTATCAACCCCAAAAATTTAAAGAGCAAACTTGGGCATGATCAATGCTACGGTACAACCAAAAGAATATCCATCAAGAAAGATCCAACAAGAGAGAACCCTAATCTTTAGGGTTTTGGAGGTGGACCATTCCAAATGCGGTAGTATATTCGTCACTGCTATAGTGTATCTCCAGAAGGTGTTCATTATGTTTTTTGGAGCAACCCAAATTAACCACAATTCCGACGAATCTGATGATTTGTTCCAAGTCTGACACCAAGACCACGCCAGGTCTCAAATTTCGATTCTCTACTATCTGACGTGCAAGCGCATACGAACGTGCTAGAACACTAAGATATACAGCAAGTGGGGTCTTAAAAAAAAAATATAGGAACAAAAAAAGGGTCCTCCTCGTATACCTTACATATACAACAATAAAAGAACACCTTCCGGATATGAAACATGGCATGAGACTCTCTTTCCGGCAGGTCCTGTATGGGGGTGATTTGTCAGAATGTTATCTTTGTTCTCTAGCCTGCAGTGGGGTACTCTATAGCGAGTACAACCCCTTAGGGTTTCCTATATGTATCCTGTTGCTTGCTAGTGCATCTCCCTCTTTTGCCTAAACTATTCTTGCCTAGCTAGGAAAGACCTAGCTATGGCTCCTACTTCTAACTACCTATTTTCACATGGTTATCAGAGCAGTAAGCTCCTGGCCTGTGGGCCCCACCACACTCCTTCCGCTGCAACTTCTACTCTCCCTTTCCGCCGTGCGCCCCGAGGCGCGCGGCGGGTTACTGCCCCGTCACGCCGCGCGCCGCTCCCGGGAGGTGCTGTGACGGGCGACGGGGACCTCCGCGTCGCCCCCCGTCGCCCGTCGTGGCCTGCGCGCGGCCCGTACAGCCTGCGCGCGGCACGTACGGGCCACGCGAGACTCGTCCGCGGCCCGTACGGGCTGCGCCAGGCCCGTGCGCGGCCCGTACGGGCTGCGCCAGGCCCGCGCGCGGCCCGTACGGGCTGCGCCAGGCCCACGCGCGGCTCGGGCCGCCTGCACGCGGTTTGGGCGACTGTGCCAGGCCCGTGGGCGGCCCTTTCCTCGCTGCCCCTGCCCTCCCTGCTGTCCCCCGTGCTTCTACTGGCGCCCCACCCCTCCTACTCCCCATTCTCCTGCATTAGGGTTTGGGGGTGAGGGGTATGGGGGTGAGCCCACTGTGTGCCGTTCCCTGCTCCTCCTCCTCCTCCGTCTCCTTGTGCTGCAGCTGCCGCTGAGGGGGGGTGGAATTGTTGGAGCCGGTGGAGTGGTACTAAGGGGGGGTGAAGGGGGAGTGGAGCTAGGGGTGTAGCAGCGGGTGTGTGTCAGGGGGAGTGGGATAGTTTGGGGAAGCTGAATGGAGGTTGCCGTCGTGTCGCCAGCAGCACCTGTAGTCCGGGGAGTTGCTCCGGTAGCCCAGTCGTAGCCACGTGTGCCAGTCGCCCGTGGGTCCATTGCTCGTCTGCCGCTACTTTTAGCCGCGGGGCCAGTTACTCCAGTAGTCCGGAGCGCTGTTCCGGTAGCCGCTGTGCCAGTGTGCCTCCTGTTGCCCGTGTGTCTGCAGCTTCAGCCGTCGCCTCCTATCTCCTCTCCTCTCACTGTCCCTCCTCCTCCTCACTTGCCCGTTGTGACTACCACTAGCTTTGCTCATAATTGTGAACTTAAACTATTGCTTCTTGAACTTGTGCTCAGAATGTGTGGTGACATTGTGATCCACCCTGAGCTTGTTCTGTTTTGCTTGCTCTGCTGATTACACCCCACTTTGGCTCTGGGGGTGTGTCAGAATGTTATCTTTGTTCTCTAGCCTGCAGTGGGGTACTCTATAGCGAATACAACCCCTTAGGGTTTCCTATATGTATCCTGCTGCTTGCTAGTGCATCTCCCTCTTTTGCCTAAACTATTCTTGCCTAGCTAGGAAAGACCTAGCTATGGCTCCTACTTCTAACTACCTATTTTCACATGATTACGGCACCGTCATCGCCCGGACCGGATATAAGACATATATGTCTTATCTTATACACTATAAATTATGCTTGGGTTTTGTATTTGGGACGATTTAGAGTGTCTTACACCAGTAAATCTTATAAATGGACAAAGAACCGTTTAGAAGATACGCCCTCCTTATGAGGTTACCCCGAAACCCTACTACGGTATTGTTGAGAAGACACCCCCTCCCTCGAACACACCTACAGGTGTCTTATAATCATGAACACCCATTTATAAGAGACACCCGTTTTAAAGACTGTCAGATTATAATGCTTGTCTAGTCTGTAGTGGGGTACTCAAAAGTGAGTATAACCCTTTTGGGCTTGCTACTTGTATCCCCCTCCTTTCTAGTTCAAACCTTCTTCTTCTATTTCTCTTTCATATAACCTAAAACCTAGCATTGGCTTCTTAGCCTAAGCTCCTATCTCAACATGCTATCAGAGCATTACGCTCCTGGCCTGTGGGCCCACCTGCTTCCGCTGCCCTACTGTGTGTCGCGTGCCCTGTGGCGCGCGACCTCCTATTTTTCTTCCCGCCACGCGCTCGGAGCGCGTCGGGGCGCACGGCGGGTTCCTGCTTCGTGCGGTGCCCTGCGGGTCCGCGCGCCGGCCCCTCCCGTCACCTCGTCGCGGCGTCTTGGGGGCCCACGCGCCGGCCCCGACTGTCGCCTTGTCGCGGCGTTTTGGGGGCCCGCACGCAGGCCTCTCCCGTCGACTCGTCGCGGCGCTTTCGGGGCCCGCGAGCCGGCCCCTCCCGTCGCCTCGTCGCGGCGCCTTGGGGGCCACGCGCCGGCCCCAACCGTCGCCTCGTCGCGGCACCTTGGGGGCCCGCGCGCGGTCCCCTCCCGTCGCCCGTCGAGGCGCTCTCGGGGGCCCGCGCGGCTCCCTAGCTCGTCGCCCGTCAGGGCGCCCTGGGGGTCGCGCCCTTCCCCTCCCCTCCCTCCTACTTTTCACCTGCAGCAGCAGCCCCTGGAGCAGCCCGCACCTGCAGCAGCCGCCCTTGGAGCAGCCCTCACCTGCAGCAGCCGCCCCTGGAGCAGCCAGCAACTGCAGCAGCCGCCCCTGGAGCAGCCCGCAACTGCAGCAGCCGCCCCTGGAGCAGCCCTCACCTGCAGCAGCCGTCCATGGAGCAGCCAGCAACTGCAGTAGCCGCCCCTGGAGCAGCCCGCACCTGCAGCGGCCGCCCCTGGAGCAGCCCGCACCTGCAGTCCGTCCCGTTCCCCCCCCCCCGTGCATTCCGTGGTGCTGGGGGTGTGGGGTGCCAAGCATGGGGGTGGCGGGTGTGGGGGTGGCGGTTATATGTTCCTCCCCTTGCTCCTCCTCCTCCCTTGTCTCCCACTGCTGCAGCTGTCGCTGAGGGGGGTGGGTGTGTGGGAGCCTAGGGTTTAGGGTTTAAGGGGGGTGCTGTGGGAGTGGAGCTAGGGTTTGAACAGGGGGTGTGTGAGAGGGGAGTGGGGCAGCTGGGGGAGGTTGTGTGAAGGTAGCTGTCGTGTCGCCTGCAGCGCCTGTAGTCCGTCGCCCTTGCTTCGGTAGCCAGTGAGCCTGTTGCACCAGTCGCCAGTGGGTCCGTTGCTCCTGCCGCTCGTCTATAGCCGCGGAGCCAGTCACTCCAGTAGTCCGTCACCCTTGCTTCGGTAGCCACTGAATCAGCCGCTCCTGTGCCCGTGCCTCTGCAGCTTTAGTCGTTGCCTCGCATCTTCTCTCCCTCCACAGTCTCTCCTCCTCCTCACTTGCCCTCTGTGATAGCTTCTAGCTTTGCTTATCATTGTGAACTCTTGCTCTATGCCTGCATGCTGTACTGATTATACCCCACTTTGACTACTGGGGTGTGTCAGATTATAGTGCTTGTCTAGTCTGTAGTGGGGTACTCAAAAGTGAGTATAACCCTTTTGGGCTTGCTACTTGTATCCCCCTCCTTTCTAGTTCAAACTTTCTTCTCCTATTTCTCTTTCATATACCCTAAAACCTAGCTATGGCTTCTTAGCCTAAGCTCCTATCTCAACAAAGACACCCCCTGTATTCTATTCAACACTGTCTTATATCCGGGTGATATGACGGTACTAGAATCTGCAACTCTTTGAGTCAGGTAGTTCTGGGCGAGCAACGTGGTTCAGAAGCGTGGCGTGGAACCCGGTTTGGCCCTGCAAGTGGCACCTGCACCGCTATGTCAGCCCTGCATGCACTCCACTGCCCTTCCACATGCGCACATGCTGTCTGCAACGTGCCCTTCACATCCCTGTTGCTCCCCCTCATGCCCCTAGCAAGCGGGGGCGCCAATGTGGGCGGCGATCTGCAGAAGGTGGTCTTCTAGCAATTCCAGAAGCCCCCTCTCCACCACCACCCTCTCCACCACCGCCCTCTGCTGCACTGCCTGCATTCGCTCTCTTCCCTCCCCTCCACTCGCCCCTCCTGTTGCCGACGTCCCTCTCCCCTGACCCCTTGTCGTGGCCAGTGCCGACCGCACGGCAGCGAGGCGGATGGCAACTCTTGGATCATCCATCACACCCACCTCTGCTGCTGCCGCGCCTGCAGCAGCTCCTGAGACGCATCCGGCAGCAAAGGGATGATTGCCAGCAGCGGCGGCAGCAGCAGCAAGGGCAGCATGACCGGCACTCACGCTCCTCCTCCCATCCACCTGCTCCTCTCCCCCCCTCACGCCGCCGCCACAACCCGCACCATGCCCCCCCAGGCTTCTCCTCCTGACCTTGCCAGGTGAGGGCGAGAAACCAGAGGGCAGCAGGCGGGCGGCAAGGCCAGCGCTGGTGGTGCGCGGCAGAGCGGCGGAGGGGCTGCTGCTGCCCGCCCCCATGCCCGCCCCCATGCCGCGCTGCCCCTCCATCAGCTCTGCACTGCGCTTCCGACTCACCCGCCTGCCATCCCACCACGCACCCCATTCCCCTCCGCCCTGCTCGTCCCCCTCATCCGCCACATCACCCCTCGCCACGTCATCGTCCAGGTCAGCATCGGCATCGCTGCTGGCGAGTGCGCTGGAGCGGGCGAGCGGGGAGGAGGTGGCGGCGAAAAGCGTGTCCCCGGGGTCGTCCTCCTCGTCGCACATCAGCGCCCGCGTGCCCGGCGACACCGACCGCTGCTGCCGCCCCTCCCCCCCCTCCTCCTGCTGCTCCTGTCCCCCGCTTCCTACCTTCCCACTTTCCACCACTTCCTCATCCCGTTCTCCCTCCGCCACCTCGCCCTCCGCCAAGCTCCCAGCCGTTACCCTCCGCTCTCCCCTCTCCTCCTCCTGCACTGGTCTCCCCTCACTGCTACCCTCCTCCTGCATGCTCACCTGCATGCTCACCTCCTCACCGCCCTCCACCTGCTTCTCCTCTGCATGCACTGCCTGCCCTCTCTCTTCCTGCGCTGCCGTGGCCCCGCCACCTGCCAGCATCACATCGGCCACCGCCTTCGAACCTTCAATGCCACCACCAACGGATGTAGCAGCAAGACGCGACACCGTGGGACCCAGCAGCACGCGAGTCAACTCACACGCCTTCTCCGCTGCACCCACGCCCACCTCCTCGTCCACCTCCACGCCCACCTCCTCGCCCACCTCCTCGCCCACCTCCTCGCCCACCTCCTCGCCCACCTCCACTATCACCCCACCCTCTTCCAAACAAGGCTCAATCTCACCTTTCTTCTCGCTCTCTCCCTTCTTTTCACATTCGCCCTTCTTCTCACTCTCTCCCTTCTCACTCTCTCCCTTCTCACTCTCTCCCTTCTCATTCTCACCCTTTTTTTCACAGTCACCATTCTTCTTACTCTGACCCTTCTCACTCTCACCCTTCATCTCACTCTCTCCCTTCTTCTCACTCTCGCTCTTCTTCTCAACCTCGCCCTTTTTGCTCCTGCCGCCAATCTCGCCCTCACAGTCACTCTTGTCCGGTGCACATGCCCACTCCTCCTTCACACGGAAAGCACCAGCACCACCCCCCTCACCACTTGCGCCCTCACCCACCCCTCCCACCTCCCCCACAGAACCCCCCTGCCTCTGCGATGGAGACTCAGCTCGCCCCCCCCTCTCTTCTGTGCCGCGCTGCTCCGCCTTGCTCTCACCACACCCCACTTGCTCCCTGCACCCCACACCCGCACTCCCCACGCACACAGTGCTCACCACCTCATCTTTCCCCCACACCACCGCACTTGACTTCCCGCTTCCCTCGCCCACCACCACGTTTCCTTCTTGGGCCTCACCAAACTTGCTATCTTCTCCTCTTTCCTTCTCCTTCCTTTCGATCTCTTCTCTCTCCTTTCTTTCATTCTCTACTCCCTTCTCTTTACCTCCGCCATCCTTCCCTTCTCTCTCCGTCCATTTTCTTCTCTTTCCATCTCTTTCTTTCCCTTCTCTCTCATTCCCTTCTCTTCTCTCCCCCTCTTCGTCCGTCCCTCCTCGTTCCTTCGAGTCTCGCTGCTTTCCTTCTCTATCCTTTCCTTCTCTATCCTTACCTTCTCTATCCTTACCATCTCTATCCTTTCCTTCTCTCCTCTTACTATCTCTCTCCTTGTATCTCCACTTTTCTACGTAGCTCTCTCTGTATCTCTCCTTCCCTTCCCTCTTCCTTGCTTCTCCCTCCCTACCTTCCCTCTTCTTCAATTCTCTCGCCCGCCCTTCTCTGTGCTTCCCATCTCTCCTCTTCCGTTCCCTCTCTTTCACATCTCGACTTCTTTCTCTCCCCTTCCGTTCCCTCTTGCCATCTCTCTCCTTCCCATCTGGCCTCTCTCGACCTCTCTCCTCTCCATCCCTGTCCTTCCCTTCCCTCCTGTTCGATTCTCTCTCCTCTCCATCCCTGTCCTTCCCTTCCCTCCTGTTCGATTCTCTCTCCTCTCCATCCCTGTCCTTCCCTTCCCTCCTGTTCGATTCTCTCTCCTCTCCATCCCTGTCCTTCCCTTCCCTCCTGTTTGATTCTCTCTCGCTCCCGTCCCTCCTCTTTTCATCATTCACCTTCCCTTTCCCCCTCTTCTCTACACTCTCCTTCGGGACCTTCCTGTCACTCCTCATCTCCTCATTCTCCGTTCCTCCCCTCTCGTCATCATCTCTCGCCTTCTCCTCGCTCCTCATTCTTTCCCTTCGTTCCATCCCTGGCCCTTCACTCTCATCAGCTTCTCTCTCCTTGTCGTTATTTTCCCCATCTGTCCCATCCCCTCCCCTCTCCTCCCCTTCTCTCTCTTCTCTGCTCTCCTCTTCTCTCATTTCTCCTTCAATCTCCTCCCATCCTCTCTTCTCCCCATCACTCTCCCCCACATCCCTCTCCTCCCCACCCCTCTCCGCCCCATACTTCTCTTTCTCATCTTTCTCCTCGCTATCTCTCTCCTCCCCTTCCGTTTCCTCCCCTTCCCTTTCCTCCCTTTCCCTTTCCACACCCCCATCCCTCTCCTCGTTTCCTACCCTGTCTATCTCCTTCTCATCCTCTGCGTTACCAGGGCTACTGTCACCAAGCATGCCTGTCACCGCCTCATCCGCCCTCGCGCCTCCACCCGCGCCTCCCTCTCTCGCCTGCCCCTGCCCTTGGCGATCACCGTCCGCCTCACTCCCCTCCCCCCCACCGTGCCCCGCCAGTCCACCCATGCTCTCCGCTTCCACCGCCCTGCTCTCCGCTTCCACCGCCCTGCTCCCCTCCCCTCGCCCGCCCTGCCCCTCTGCCCTCTCACTCGCCCCCTTGCAGCAATCCCCCACCTCGCCTGCACTGCCTGCTCGCTCACACTCTGCCCAAGGAGCAGCAGACACCTGAGGAGCAGCAGACACCTGAGGAGCAGCAGACACCTGAGGAGCAGCAGACACCTGAGGAGCAGCAGACACCTGAGGAGCAGCAGACACCTGAGGAGCAGCAGACACCTGAGAAGCAGCAGACACCTGAGGAGCAGCAGACACCTGAGGAGCAGCAGACACCTGAGGAGCAGCAGACACCTGAGGAGCAGCAGACACCTGAGGAGCAGCAGACACCTGAGGAGGACCAGACACCTGGGGGCCCTGGAAGCCGAGCTTGACTGTGGCGGTGGGGCTGTGGGGGGGGCTCTGCTGTGCGGGCGCGTGCGGAGAAGGCTCCTCTGCTGCAGCGCGTGCCTCAGCTGCCTCTGCTGCCTCTGCTGCCTCAGCTGCCTCAGCTGCCTCTGCTGCCTCTGCTGCCTCTGCTGCCTCTGCTGCCCGCACTGCCTCTGCTGCCTCTGCTGCCCGGACTGCCTCTGGCTCCGGCCGGGTGGACACTGCTGGAGAGGTGCACGCGCACACGCACACAGGCAGGCACACGCGGTGAGAGGGCAAGGGGGAGAGACAGCGTTAGACTAAAGAGCCCTATGCCCTCTGCCATCCGCCATCGCACTTCAGGACTCTGTGCTCTCTTCACAAACCCATTCGGCCTTCGGCCGAGTCGGCTTGTGCAGCGGCGTGTGCGCTGCCTGCGCCACACGTGAGGGGAAGGCAGGGAGTATGAGAAAGGCAAGAGCACAGATTGAGCACGTGAGCACGATGAGGACGGCCAGCAGGCTACAATGAGCTCGCAGCACGGATACCACCCGTGGGCTCACGGGTGGTGGAGAAGCAACACGGCCGTGCTGGAGTGAAGGCGAGCTGGGAGCGGACCGGCGTAACAGCATCTTCAGACACGATGACCGATAAGAACTCATCAATGACAGCGGCGCGGTGTTCAACGACAGCGATGACTGCCGCATGGAGACCACAGCCGGCGGCTACGTCGCGAGCATCCTCGGGCCCGTGGTGGAGAAGGTCGGTCCACAGCACAGCACATGGTGGCGTTGTGCACGCGCGGTGGGTCCAAGTACTCAGTGGGTCCAAGTACTCAGTGGGTCCAAGTACTCAGTGGGTCCAAGTACTCAGTGGGTCCAAGTACTCAGTGGGTCCAAGTACTCAGTGGGTCCAAGTACTCAGTGGGCTGCCAGGAGGAGTTGACGGTGGAGTGGGCGCACATTCAACACGTGCCGTGCGCCACCCACGTTATGGACCTCCTCATGGAGGACGTCGGCAAGATGGGTTGGGCTAAGAAGGTCGTGGACACAGTACATTGCTAAGAAGGTCGTGGACACAGTACATTGCTAAGAAGGTCGTGGACACAGTACATTGCTAAGAGGGGAATGATGGGAATGAGAGCGAGGACGTCTTGATTGCACTGCAGGGCGGCGTGAGGGCATTTCTGGATATGACGGGAAGTTTTGGGATGGGGGATGCAATTGCACAGAGGAAAATGGTCAAGGAGGGCACGTATGACATGGTCAAGCGGTGGCAGTGGCACGGCACTGACGCACCACAGCTGGCAGCCCTCACCATTAGGACTCTCTCTCAGCCCGTGTCGGCTTCATCATGTCAGCGGGGATGGGCAACATGGGATTCAGTGCGCAACCGACTTGGCTCTGCCGGGATCAGGTTTTCGTTGCGCACAACTGGAACGTTGTGCGCCACTGGCACGTTGTGCGCCACTGGCACGTTGTGCGCCACTGGCACGTTGTGCGCCGCTGGCACGTTGTGCGCCACTGGCACGTTGTGCGCCACTGGCACGTTGTGTGCCACTGGCACGTTGTGCGCCACTGGCATTCCCGCGAGGATGCGATGCCGGGTGTGGTGCTCGGGAACATGCCGGAGCCTCCCGTGCCCGAGGGCTATAATATGGTGGAGGGGAAGGAGGAGGAGGAGGAGGAGGAGGAAGCGGAAGATGGCATTCTAGAGGATGAGTATGAGTAGGTGGCATAACTGATTCTTGGGTGAGGAGTCGCATGAGTAGTAGTATGAATGAGATGAGTAGTTGTCATTGTACTCTTGTTGGTACAAAAATATGAGTCGGGAAAAAAAACCAGAAAAACAACCCCTGTGGAAACTGACCCCTGAAGTACATCAGGGGGGAATTCTTCTACCTGCCCGTACTTTTTTTAACCTGCCCGAAATAGAGTATCCCCGGTTTCGGGACCTTAGCGTATAGAGTATAAACGCAAGCAGATATACGACACGCATATATACGCTATACGCGTATATGCCAACGTAGAGGGAGCCCGTGATGTGATGGCGCTCCTGCAGCTGCCTGCGTGCATTGTGAGTGCAGCGCTGGGTTGTGAGTGCAGCGCTGGGTTGTGAGTGCAGCGCTGGGTTGTGAGTGCAGCGCTGGGTTGTGAGTGCAGCGCTGGGTTGTGAGTGCAGCGCTGGGTTGTGAGTGCAGCGCTGGGTTGTGAGTGCAGCGCTGGGTTGTGAGTGCAGCGCTGGGTTGTGAGTGCAGCGCTTGGTTGTGAGTGCAGCGCTGGGTTGTGAGTGCAGCGCTGGGTTGTGAGTGCAGCGCTGGGTTGTGAGTGCAGCGCTGGGTTGTGAGTGCAGTGCAGCGCTGGGTTGTGAGTGCAGCACTTGGTTGCGTGGCTTCGACAGCACTCACCAGCTCTGGTCTTCAATGCAATCACACGCAACTCATAATACGGACCGGTTGAGAGAGAGGGCGAAGGGAGAGCGCAGACGGAGAGCGCAGACGGAGAGCGCAGACGGAGAGCGCAGACGGAGAGCGCAGACGGAGAGCGCAGACGGAGAGCGCAGACGGAGAGTGCAGACGGAGGGTGCAGACGGAGAGCGCAGACCATAACAAGGCCGATTGGAAGGCAGAATAAGCATTTCGCATTCCAAGCGAGCGACGAGCGTGCGAATGGGTGGCAAGAGAGGCATACGAGTGACTTGTGATATGCCACTCACTGCTCGCGGTGTACTCGTGCTGCACGCCCCACGCCAGCGCCGCCATGAGCATGCACGTTCGCCGCACCGCCCATGAGGAGAGGGGCGAGCGCGCCGAGGGGGAGGGCAGGGCGGGCGAGGAGGGCGCGCGGGAGGGGGAGAGGCCCACCATGGGGGGGTGCGGGGGGGGCGACCTGGGGGGCATGTGGGGAGGGGGGGGTTGGGCCAGCAGGGGTTCGAGGAGACAGGGTGAGTGAGAGGAGACAGGGTGAGTGAGAGGAGACAGGGTGAGTGAGAGGTGGCATGGACAAAGGGACGAGGGGATGGAAAGGAGATGAAAGGGGCGGGGAACTGAGGGAAGCTTGAGGAGAAAACGATAAAACCGCGGGAGATGGACGAAAAGCCAATTCTGAACGGTTGGCCGTATTGCGTGTGTGCAATGGGCGCGCTGCACTTGGTGAAACCAATGAGCTCATGTGGGTGTGGTTGCTCTGCTCTCCCTCCGCCCTCCTCTGTATATATGACCCACCATCGAATCGAGCTGAGCTGTGCAACAGCCACATCATCCCACATGCTTCCAAACCTGCATTCCCGTGATACTCACTCAAGGGAAACACACCGTTTGCTGCCCACACCTCACTCCCTCCCAGCTCAGCCAGCGCGTACCTCAAGGCGGCAGGAGGGTGCATGTGCATGGTGCTGCCCTCGGGACTCCCTCCCGCCACCACATGCCCACCCGCGTGCCCCCCACCCCTCCCATCCCATGCCCCGCCCATCCCACCGCCCATGGCACCCCCAGCAGCAGCAGAAGCAGCATGGGCAGGCACAGGGGAGTGGTGGGGGCGAAAGGGAGGGTAGGAGTGCGAGTGAGCGAGCGAGTGAGAGGGTGTGCGAGCATGTGCGTGGGCGTGCGGGGATGTGTGGGAGTGCAGGCCAGGGCGTGCAGCAGGAGGCGTGAAGGCGGACGCCTTGGTGGGGGTGACCATGCGCTGGTAGGCTGACATCTGGGGGGGGATGAGAGGGGAGATGGAGGGGAACACGGGGGAAGGAAGTGAGGGGTACGAGAGAGGAGAGCGGAAGGGGGCTGGGAAAGGTGGAAAGCGAGAGGAAGGAGAAGCGGTGGCAATGCGAGGGTGTGGTGCCTGCACTGCGGTCCCTCCCGCACCTCAAACTTGATGGGCGTGACGGCAGCGGCAGCAGCAGCAGCAGCAAGGCCGGCAACGACGGCCTGGCGGTCGAGGCTGCCATCGTAGTTCTTGCAGTCGGCGCACTTGCAGTTGGCGCCGCACAGCACGTTGGCCTGGAAGCACTCGCAGTACTTCTTCAGACACCCGCTCTTGCGGCAGTGGCACCCCGCGCGGTGCCGCCCCGCCACCGGCGTGTGCACGCGCGCCGCCTCGCCCTGCTGCCAGGGGGGGGGTGTGAGTGGGGGGTGGGACGCATTGGAAAGGAGGGACTGGGTAGGGGCAGGGCAAAGACGATTGGGGTTGAAGGGGGTGTGCACATGCTGTGGGAGGCGGGTTTGGAATATGGTTTCTATACAGTACGTTCTTCAGTCGTGGAAGCCTTGCTTTCTACGTTCCCTCTTCACGTGACGGGCTAAGCAAACAAGGCCGGCGATAAGAGCAGTGAGTTGGATGTGCTGCTAAGAGCAGTGAGTTGGATGTGCTGCTAAGAGCAGTGAGTTGGATATGCTGCTAAGAGCCTACAGCCACGAGAGAGCTCAACTCTTATCGCCGGCCTTGTTCGCTTAGTTAGTCTGCCAGGTACAGAAGGAACATAGTGTGGTGCAGCGAGTATGGTGCAGCGAGTGTGGTGCAGTGAGTGTGGTGCAGTGAGTGTGGTGCAGTGAGTGTGGTGCAGTGAGTGTGGTGCAGCAAGTGTGGTGCAGCAAGTGTGGTGCAGCAAGTGTGGTGCAGCGAGTGTGGTGCAGCGAGTGTGGTGCAGTGAGTGTGGTGCAGTGAGTGTGGTGCAGCGAGTGTGGTGCAGCGAGTGTGGTGCAGTGAGTGTGGTGCGGTGAGTGTGGTGCAGCGAGTGTGGTGCAGCGAGTGTGGTGCAGCGAGTGTGGTGCAGTGAGTGTGGTGCAGCAAGTGTGGTGCAGCAAGTGTGGTGCAGCGACTGTGGTGCAGCGACTGTGGTGGTGCGCAGAGTGGGAGAGCAAGGGGGCGCTGTGAGGGGGGGTGAGAGGGCGCACCGAAGCGGGGGCGTGGGAGGGGCTGTGGGGGGCGATTTTGGGGCGGAAGGCGTTGGGGTTGCGGTCGAGCACGGCGAGCACGGCGTCGTGGCGCTGCGCCTCATTGGCAGGCGAGTTGCAGCAGTTGACGCAGTTGCACCCCTCGCAGTACAGCCCCGCCGCAAAGCACTCGCAGTACCTGCCAGCCACCACGGAGTAGAACCGAGGAGGTTGGGGATAAATAGGAAGCTCATTGCAGGCATGGCCCTGCCGTGCCAGCACAAGAAAGCCAAAGCCCTGTCCCGCTGCTCTCCACCCATCTAAAATGGCAGACACAGAAGGATGCAGGTGGTGCACGAGCAGGGCAGGTGGGCGGAGGGCTTACAGCTTGAGGCAGCGCGAGTTGCGGCAGTTGCACGAGCGCTTGCGCGGAGGCGTGCCTCCCCCGGGACCCCCCGTTGCCTCCCGTGCCGCCGCCGCTGCCAGCACGGCTGCTGCCGTGGCCGCGTCCTTCCTGTCTGCCCGCGGCTTCCTGCTGCCCCTGTGTGGGGTGGCGCACACACACACGCGCAGGGGAGGGGTGGGGCACGCAGGGAGGGCGAGGAGGGGGTGCAAGGCGAGGAGGGGGTGCATGGCGAGGAGGGGGTGCATGGCGAGGAGGGGGGGCATGGCGAGGAGGGGGGGCATGGCGAGGAGGGGGGGCATGGCGAGGAGGGGGGGCATGGCGAGGAGGGGGGGCATGGCGAGGAGGGGGGGCATGGCGAGGAGGGGGGGCATGGCGAGGAGGGGGGGCATGGCGAGGAGGGGGGGCATGGCGGGTGAGTGAGAGCGTGCCAGATGCACGTGGTAGCGTCCGAGGGGTGATTGCGGGGCAGCAGCACACATGAGAGCGACGGAGAGGACTGAAGGCAACGCATGCAGGATGAAGGGCAGCAGCGAACAAGAGGAGAGGCGAGGGGGGGGGGGGGGGGGGGGGGGGGCAACAGGAGAGGCAGGAGCGCACGTGGTGAAGGGCGAGGAGGACGGCAGCAGGGGCGGAGCAAGCGGCAGGGGGGCTGGCAGGGTGAGGGGCACTGCGACGGGCACAGGCACACCCATGGCCATGCCCGCTGGCATGGGCGCGCACTGCGCTGATGGCACTCCCAACACTGCCGCCTGCGCTGCTGCTGCTGCTGCTGGGGATGCTGCTGCTAGGAGCGATGCTGGTGATGATGACGCTGGGGCTGCTCCTGCTGTGTGCGTGGGTGCTGCTGCTGCTGCTGCACCCGCCGGTGGTGGGGTGAGCAGGGATGCCATGCTCGCTTCACGTGCCGAGCCGCCTGCAGGCACGGGCGCAGGCACGGGTTGGGGCAGCGGAGGTTGCAGCATTTCCTGCACGCTCCGGCTGTGCAGCAACCCCTCACCCGCTGCTACTCCCATTTGCTGCTGCTTCTGCTGCTGCTGCTGCTGCTGCTGCTGCTGCTGCTGCTGCTGCTGCTGCTGCTGCTGCTGCTGCTGCTGCTGCTGCTGCTGCTGCTGCTGCTGCTGCTGCTGCTGCTGCTGCTGCTGCTGCTGCTGCTGCTGCTGCTGCTGCTGCTGCTGCTGCTGTCGTTGCTTTTCGCTTGCTTCCCGCACATCACCACCGCCTGCCATGCGCCCTGCTGTCTCCGCCGCCACACCCTGCCTTCTCCGTGCGCCCTCAGGGTTCGCCAAGTCTGCGGATGGTGCTAGTGACAAATGCGGCGACTGTTCCTGCGGCTGTTGAGACTGCAGTGCCGCCTGCTGCGCCGCTTGCGAATGTTGTGAGGGTTGGGAGGGTTGCGCGGGTTGCGAGGGTTGCGCGGGTTGCTGGGGTTGGGGGGGTTGCGCGAGTTGCGCGGGTTGCGGGGATTGCGCGGGTTGCGCGGGTTGCGGGGGTTGCGCGGGTTGCGCAGGTTGCGGGGGTTGAGCGGGTTGCGCGGGTTGCGCGGGTTGCGGTGGAGCAGCTCCCGCGGTGAAATCGAGGTGGCGGGGCCGCATCGTGCTCAGCTCGCACAGGCGACCAAGAGCGATGTATGACTGACAGGCTTTCGTGGAATAAATCTCGAGCCTTCTCAACACGTGTCGCGTCAAACTATTAGATCATCACGCCACCTCAAATTGAACCAAGCCTCCAGCGCACCATGACCCGGAACTATTACTACTCCTCACCGCGCCAATGCCGCACATCACAGCGCAACCGCTCTGGACGCGATGAGGAACGCTGGCGAGGAGGGAGTGCGGTGGACGACGGGAACAGGTTGGTGCGCGCTGAGATTGTTTTTTTAGGTTCAAAAAACAGTTCGACCTCGGGATGGTTACCAACTTCGTTGTGAATTGTATGGAATTTTCCTTAATTCCTTATCGGGTTGACTGCTAGGCGTACTATAAGGAATTTTCCTTAATTCCTTATCGGGTTGACTGCTACGCGTACAGCCCGATTTTTGGACTTCCCACGTTCGGCCGATTTCAACGCTGCCGAGGCTCCTCGCGTCGCCTTCAGCATTTTCCATCGCCAAACCTGCACCCCAACCTCGCTCGTCCGAGGTTTCCTCCTAGCTAGGCTAGCTCCTACATTAGTGTGTTCCTTCATTGTATTCTCAGATCATTCAATCACAGTCTCGTTATTCGTTTACCTGCGCACTCTCTTTTACAACTCATAACACATGGTATCAGAGCTACTTTCCTAGTTCACCCCGCTTTTCCGAGGGTAGTTTGGTGGCATAGGGTGTGGCTGGTTTAGTGACTACACGACGGTTGGCCGCAGAGATTGTTAATTCAATCCTGCCCGACTCCGATAATTCGTGTTTTCACTTGCCTGAAGGCCACGGAGACCCGACTGCCCACCAGACGTAGCGCTAGGCACATGGATCAGGAGGCGGTTAACAGGATGATGGCGCAAGTGGCAAAAATGCAGGAGAGCATGAAGACATTAATGGCGGAAGTGACAACACTGCGAGAGGAAAACGCCGAGCTACGCTAGATGCGAGGTGAAGCGCGTCAGGAGTCGCCTGTGGACGAAGGCGAGGGCAACAGTCAAGCGATGAGCAATCCGCTAGATGCGCTCACACGTGACTTCGAAGAGGAAGACAGGCAGCGAGCGGCAGCAGCGCCAGTTGCAGTAACAATGATCAAGATCAAGCCCGTTAACCCACCCCCGTTTAATCCTACGGACAAGACGGTTACGGTAAAAGGGTGGCTGTTCGGGGTCGAGGTCTTATTCACTGCAGCAGGAGTTAACGACGATGCCACGCGTATTAATTACACGGTCTCGCTTCTTCGAGGTGCAGCGCTTGAGTGGTGGCGCCGAACCTTGGAAACAGGGACGCCGACAGGTGTGACGCATGCGGCAGACGGGACCTCAACAGTGATTAATCAAGTGGCACAATCAATCTTCGGAGTGACCACAATATGCACGTGGAAGGAGTGGGGCGCAGCCTTACGAGATCGCTTCGAGCACGTATCCGCCTCGGAGCAAGCTCGCATGAAGCTGCGTGCATGGTCGTAGATGGCTTTTGTCCAAGACTACACGGCGTCATTTATGGGCCTCGCCGACCAAGTTGATGATATGTCGGAAGCTGAGCGGTTAGATAAATACATCAGCGGCCTCAAATACGAGATACAGTACCAGGTTGGCAGGGGCCGCCCGACATAATTTCTTGAAGCAGTACGGCTGGCGGAGTCTACAAATGCGCTGATGCAGTACGCGAGAGCAGCTTCCCGGGAGGGAAACCGCTTTTGTGGCCGCCCTCCTAAGGGACCGTGTTACCGGTGTGGGAAGACAGGTCACTACATGAAAGACTGCCACGAGAAAACGCCGCTGACGGGGAACGACAGGAAAGAGTGTCAAACTCATATGCTATAGTCTGTATAGGCTGTAGTGGGGTAGACAATATGGGGTACAACACTTTCAGGTTTTCCTACTTGTACCCACCTGCTTGCTAGTTCATTCATTCCTCATTTCTTCACATGGTATAGAGCAGGTTCCCTAGTGGGAACTTTTCCTAGGGCCCACCACTGAAAATCGAGTTTTCTTTCTTTTTCCTGCCCCGAGATCGAGTCGCCCTTGACCGAGGCGCGCCCTGTGTGCCGCCCTCCCCTAAGCGACCTATCGCGCCGCCCTTAGCGCCCCCCCCCCCCCCCCCCCCCCCCCCCTTCTCACGGCCCCTCGCGACCCCGTCGCCGCCCCCTAGCGGCCCGTCGCGCCGCCCTGAGCGGCCCGTCGCGCCGCCCTCAGCGGCCCCTTGCGGCCCCACCTCCACGGCCCCGTCCCCGCCCTCTCACGGCCCCGTCGCCGCCGTTCGCGGCCCCGCCGCCGCCCTTAGCGGCCGCGTCGCCGCCCGTCGCGGCCATGTAGCCGCTCCTCGCGGCCTCGTCGCCGCCCTCTCGCGCCCCCAGTGCCGCCCTCTCGCGGCCGCGTCGCCGCCCTCTTGCGGCCCCAGTGCCGCCCTCTTGCGGCCTCGTCGCCGCCCTTAGCGGCCCCGTCGCCGCCCCTTGCGGCCCCATCGCCGCCCCTTTCGGCCCCTCCCCGGCCCCTTCACCGCCGAGCCGCCGAGCCGCCAAGCAGCCGAACCGCCGAGCCGCCGAGCCGCCGAGCCGCCGAACCGCCAAGCCGCCGAGCCGCCGAGCCGCCGAGCCGCCGAGCAGCCGAGCCGCCGAGCAGCCGAGCCGCCGAGCCGCCGAGGCCGCCGTCGAGCCGCCACTACTGAGCCGCTACCACCGAGCCGCCGTCGAGCCGCTACTGCCACTGCCGAGCCGCTGCCACCGCGGTTGCAGCCCTGTTCCTACCGGCGCGCCTCGGCCCTACCCACCCGGACTAGTGAGAGCACTCCCTGCTAGACCACTGCTGTCATGGCTACCCCCAGTGTCCTTACCTTTGATGCTGAGGGTCGTGCTGTTGACTTCGAGGTCTGGGTCGATGACCTACAGCTCTTCCTACAGTGCGATAGGGCAGACGGACTCTCCCTATTCGATCTCACCTCTGGTGCCTCTCCTGCCCCGCCTGCTGATGCTGACAGCACTGTTCGCTCACAGTGGGCCACACGCGATGCTGCTGCCCGTCTTGCTATGCGTCGCCACTTACCAACCGCTAAGCGTGCGCACTTTAGTCAGTACAAGAGTGCTAAGACCTTGTACGACGCTGTAGTTGCACGCTACTCTTCCCCTGCCACTGCTGTTCTTAGCCGCCTCATGCTGCCATACTTGTTCCCTGACCTTGCTGCCTTTCCCACAGTCGCTGACCTCATTACGCACCTTCGCACTAGTGACACTCGCTACCGCGCTGCGCTTCCTGCTGAGTTTTGCGCCAAGAACCCTCCCCCCATGTACATCACCCTCTACTACATAGTCACCTGGATCCCTGACTCCCTTCGTTTAGTCAGGGACCACTTCCTCTCAGTTTGCCCCACCACACTCACCGTTGACCTCCTCGAGGAGCGCCTCCTGGCAGCAGAGAAGAGCATAGTCGCTGTAGGAGCCTCTCGTGGTGACCCTCGTACCCCCGTCTTTGAGGGGTGTTCCCCCTCCCCCCTCTTGCCCTCTTTTTCTTCTACTGCTGCGGCCGACCTCGTTGGCTTCGAGTCGGTCGGAGCTGCGTCTGCCCCTAGCAGGAGACTCCGCACCGGCAAGGGCAAGGGGGGCAAGGGCGCTGGAGGGGCTGGCGGGGGCGGTGGAGGTGGCGGTGGAGGCAGTGGAGGGGGTGGGGGTGGTGGTGGGAGTGGTGGCGGGGGTGGAGGTGTCGGTGGCAGCAGTGGAGGCGGAGGAGGCGGCAGCGGTGGCGTTGGGAGCGGAGGCGGCGGAGGTGGCGGAGGCGGCGGCGGCAGCGGTGGAGCTGGTTGCGGCTCTGCGCAGAGGAGTGTCTCTGGTGGTGGACCGCGCAAGCTGCAGCAGCGCACTCGAAGACCCCGTCCCCCCAGCAGCTTCGTGAGTGGTACGCTGGGCGTCAGCGAGGTGGGGGTACTGGTCCCTATACCTACGTCCTCCGTACCGGCGACCGCGCTGGTGAGCAGTGCGGGGGCTCGCACTCCACCCAGCGCTGCTTCGGCGGCCTGACGAACGCTTTGCGTCACTAGTTCCCTGACGCCACTGAGATCCCTCGCTGAGGAGAGCTGTCTAGAGCGGGGGTTGCTATCTTTGATCTTGACTATGATGCTATACTTGCTGCCATGTATGCTGTGTCTACTAGTGATGAGGGCGTCTGTTACTTGTGTGTTCCGCCTGACCCGGACATTGGGACTGCTGCTCTAGGTGCTGGTGCGGCTGCTGCTCTAGGTGCTGGTGAGGCTACTGCTCTCGGTGCTAGTGAGTCTGCTGCCCCAGGTGCTGGTGAGTCTGCTCTCTCAGGTACCACGTCGGCTCAGGCCTCCCACACCTTCACCCTTGACTCGGGTGCTTCCCGCTCCATCTTTCGAGACCGCACCACACTCACGCCGCTCGGTCGGCCAGTGGCGGTCTCCTTGGCAGACCCCTCCGGGGGTCCTGTCCTTGCCCACTTCTCCAATGTCTTACCGTGTCCGGCGGCCCCCTCTGGCACCCTGTCAGGTCTTTACCTCCCCTCGTTCTCTACGAACTTGTTGAGTTGTGCAGATCTACAGGATGGGGGGGTTGACCAGTTCACTCCTGCGAGTCAGCGAGTGACCCACTCTACGTGTGCTCGGACGGGCCGAGACTTGGCCACGTTTACCCGTCGACCAGGGTTAAGCCTGTACACACTGACTACTGGTCATCCTCAGTCTACTGCGTCTGGTCTGGTAGCTGCGTCGGGTTAGGCGTCTGCTGCGACGTCCAGGTCTGGTCGTGAGTCTGCCCCCAGCTCGTGTCGTCTCCTGTCTCACCAGACTCTCCTCTGGCACCACCGCCTTGGTCACCCCTCCCTGCCTCGTCTCCGAGGCATGGCCTCCCGTGTCCTTGTCTCTGGTCTCCCCCCGTCCCCCCCTCCCCTCCCTCCGGGGCCTGCCCCTACTTGCGTTCCCTGCGTCAAGGGGCGGCAGCGCGCCGCCCCT